AGCCACCTACTTCTGTCAGCACCCTGTTATTATGGCCAAAGTGTGTCTGTGTGTGTTTGTGTGTCTGGGTGTGATCTGATAGACTCCATTGATTATCTTCCACAGGGTGACAGTGTTCATTAACTGGCCACTAAGACAAATAAAGCATTTACTTTATTTTCAGAGCAACATATTTTTAAGAAACCACGTCGAAACTTGTTGTTTGGTAAAAAATGCTGCATTTTGTTCCATTAAAAGTCTCATTTAGATCCACTTGACAAAGGTTTTCGTGAGATATTTGTCACAGCAGGTGTTTTAGATTTGTTTTCACTGTATTAAACAAGTAGTAATAACCTTGAATATGTCATTATCTTCTAGATAAGGAAAATATTACAGTTTTGCAAAGGATTACTGGAAAAAAGAATACCAGACAGAACTCATTAAAATGGACTTCAGTTGACGGCTGAGCCATTCGTATGTATTTATTTCTAAATGTTGATAGCAACCAACCGTGTATTTTGGAGTTAGTTTGTGAGGAAGCTCAGCTTTTGGGTTCTGAACTCAGCAGGAACCTTTTTTCTTTTTCTTATTTCCCTCCAATTTCTCTCCTCAATAAACAAACCCTGTATGTTTATGAAGTAGTGCTAGATTCGTAAAGCCCCAGGCGTGAATGTTTCCGCGGAGCTAAGCAGTACAGTTGCGTCTTTGCACCGTTTTGCAAAGCACCTGGTTGATTGTGCTTGTCTTTCCATTGGCTTTATATGCAGTCTCACCACGTCTGAAGTTTGCAACACGTTTTGTCTGAGCACGTTTTTGTTGTCCCACTACAATTTGACTTTGAATTAAGTCAATCTGACTATGTAGCTTTTCCTTAAAAACAGCAGCCACTGTGGCCATTATGGGATGATGGCATTGAATTTCCTTTATTTAATTTCCCAAGATTCTCTTCAGAAAATGTTTTTTTGAGTTTACTCAGAGGCTGAACTGCCACACAAACACACCTCCATAACTCAGTAATGTCAGCTCACATCAGAAAGCTAACATTAGCCACCATATGCTAGTGGTCACACCAGACCAACTGAAGCTGTAGCAGCAAAACACGAGAGAGTGAGACGAAGAAGAGGAGGAAACAATTAAATGTGCATAGTCTTGCTTTAATTTCATTCTCCTGTCTGTGTGTGTGCAGGAGTGGTCTCCGGAGGCGAGCCGCTCCATCAGCAGGAAGGAGCGAAGTGGGCACTCCGAGGACAACGTGGTCACCCTTACCAACATCGTCTCCTCAGGCGGAGGCGACGTCCCGCCGAGTCCCATCACCCTGGACACCGGCAGGTAGGAGGACATGTCTCCACGTCTGCTGCAGACAAATGACGACAATCCTTATCACCGTGTTTGATTACAGGACTGGGTTTATTATTGATTCCCACCAAAGGTTGCTCTGTGTTCTTGCGTTTGTCAGATAAACTTGTGAAGGTTTCTAGAATTTTTCCAAGTTTAGGATAAAGAGCTCGTCTTTCCTCCCCATGCAAATACACAGATGCACAACGTGTGTGTGTGTGTGTGTTTGTGTGTGTGTGAGGTCAGACCATTTAGAGGCAGCATGTAGTTTACTTTGTTACCTTGTTGTCACCCTGAGGAGTTAACATCCTGTACATAACACACTCTAATTAGTAGCTAGAAAGCAGTGTGTGTTTGTTAGAGGCTTTGGTACCAGATTTAGCCACACACCCCTAGCATTACATTTCCTCAAAAGCAATAGACATTTGTCAGCCGCTGTCAGTGCTTCACAAACACACCGCCATCCCTCCCTCAGATAAAAGCAGGCAGGCAATAATTATTGGTGGATTGGAGTTGCATAAGTTTAATTTACACATCTATCAAAGGCGATATAAAGAGTTGTGCAAAAACGTTCACAGTCACAATTCAAACACTCAAATAAAATGGGGGGAAAATAAATAAAGTGCACATGGTAGACTGCTATTGTGACTTTCTACGAGTAAAGCCCAGTTCAGATTCCCGCAATGTACCGCTCTGCAACATTCCAAAAACCTGCAAGTTTACACCAACACAACTAGACGAGATGGTGTATCGTCTCCAAAACTACTACTCTCTTCAGTGCCGTTCTAACCGCAGGCTTTATTTGTAGCATCTTAAACTATAATTGAGAATTAGGGATAGTGATTTACTTGCTGCAGTTGCATTAAATGGTGAAACAGCAACATCAACAAAAACGAGACATGCTCACCGCTGCATAAAACGGTGTCCTCTCGTTGTGAATCTTTGGTCTGTACCGGGCTTCAGACCGGCCTCCCACCATGAGCTCACTGCCGTTCCATAAACTCTCTGCGGTCTCTGACTCCACTAAGACATTTTCACACACTCTGTTCTCCGCCGGACATCCATGATGACAACAGCTGCGGTTGCCAGGAGTCATGTGACGTAGCTACAGAGCCTCTCTTAGTTTATTTACAACACCTCAGTTGGGGCCCATTAAGTTTAAAGGGGTTCATGAGAGGTATAGTAACCCAGAGAGACGGGAGGGGGATAAAAAACGAGAAGCCAGATACAGTTGAGGGTATATGAGACTGTAGCGGCAGCTTTATTTGTATTTAATCTAATTTAACTTTATTATATTTTGTGCTTAAAAAGAACACACAGTAGATTTCAAAGCATCAAGGTTATTTATTTGTCATTGTCCAAAAACAACAAAACTCTGTAAAGATGTAGGCACAAGAGTCTCCCGTTTTCCCAGAATTCCTGTTGTCCAACCTGGGCCAGCTCTCTTCCTCTCCTCTTGGGGCGACCACAGCACCCGCCGTGGTGGACCGGTCCCATCCGGTCAAACTGGCTCCATGCATCATCTCAAAGTCTGAACCCAATGGTCTCTCTCTCTGTTATTGGTAATACGTGTTTCAGCAATAAAGCTGAAAAAATGAGGGATTAAAACAGAGTTTTAAGGAGCTAATCGCTGATGCATATGCATGCTCTGCTTTTGCCATATTGTCAGTATCTCCTGATCCAGTTGTCAGACATCATTCAGTGTTTCAGCAGTAAAGATGGAAAAAATTATTGAAACAAAAATGTAGCGAGTAACTATCAACAATCATCAAGACAATGATTGTGTTTTTCACTCCCAGTGCTGCATTCAGGTGCTTTGCGTGTAACAGAAACACAACCAGCATTTGGTGGCTGTCAGGAGGAAATTTCAGACTCTGTATGTCTGTCTGACTTTCTGTCTGTCTGCCACACGTCTCTCTCCTCTCTCAGGGTGAAAGATTATTCGTCAGACTGGTCAGACGACGAAAGTCCTAAGAAGGTTCTGGCGGTGAACGGCGTGGGGGAGGCGGAGGACGAGGAGGATCAGGTAGAGGGGGTGCGAGTCCGAGCGCTCTATGATTACACGGGCCAGGAGGCCGATGAGCTCAGCTTTAAAGCAGGTATTAACACTTACTAATGCTTATAGAAGGGAGGCATCACAGGGGGGATTCCTGATTTTTAGTTTGATTGATCGGTTTTAGTTTGATTACCGTTGTTGTTTCATAAAATGTGCAAAACTGAGAATAAAAACAAAACCTAGAGTGGAACATTTTGTCTTAAGGGACTATGTAAGTTTTTGTACAATCAAATGCAAATAAAACAGCCCTACAATATATCCTGAAGGTTTAAATGTTCACTGTTTGTTGATACTGAGTCAGAGACATGTTGATAGAACTCAATGCTAAGACTGTAGTTAGTGTTAGTTAGCAGAGAGGGTTGTAGTTGGCTGTTTGTTAGGCCTTTTAGCTCTTAATCACAAGATAGTGATTTGAGATAAATAATTACCTCGGGATCAGAGTACCTCAAAAACCGAATACAATTTCACATAGAAAATGTAATAAATAATAATCACGTGAAAGCACTTAATGTGGTAATAACAAGACAGGGCTCAACAATAAGAATTGTCTGCTTGCCAAGTGGTAAAATAGAATTAAACACATCGTGTTTTCCGGAGCTGATGGTGGAAGTAGTTAAGGAGTGAGCCATCATGCTTCCTTCTCATCTCAGTTGAGAGTTGTATATGTACCGACCAGACTTTTGCAAGAAGATGGCAGCAGGTAGAGAGAAAGTTTACGAGCTGAAGCACAAGCTGGTGTTTAAAGCCTCCAATTATGTATTGCGCAGGGGTCATTTTTCAAAGACCCATCAAGTTTCCAGAAAACTTAAATCTTTCTTGTTATTTGATAAACAAATTTCTGTAGAGTAGCAAATGTTAAAAAATCCTTTCCTCATTTACATAGTACTTAATTAAACCCACATCAAACCCCTAAACAGCAGTTACCTAAAGATAATTATCAAAAATAAATGAGGAAATACAACATTATCCTCAACATTGCAACCCATTTGCACATTTATATGAAATTTCAGCTATCATGAATATAAGAGCATAAATATACAGTAAAACAAAATCATATATTTCAGAGTTCTTAGTAAATTCTCAGTCGGAAGATATTTTTTCTATTTTTCTTCTCCTGTGATGCCTCGTCTTAACACATTTACACACACACACACTCATGTCAAACACATTGTTTCAGACATGAGTACCGGTGATCAAATGCAGTAAGACTGTAATGAAGTGGGGCTACACCCATAAAGCACACATATTACATCTTACCTCCGTCTGCATGTCAGTCATCACTGTGACCTGTTGAGCTGCTCGCTGGAGGTTCATGAATCTTACATAATCAGTCCGTCTGAGTCACAGAAACATCTCAGCTTTTGTAAGATGAATAAATTTAGATCCAAAAATGGACAAACAACCTGTGAACTGGAGCAGATTTTACTTTTCTGAACACAGAAAGTGGATATTTTTCTCCATCTTTAACATTATACTTCAGTTTCTCTGTAATGATATAAAACTGGCTTGTTTCTGTGACTTGAACTTGATCATCATTGCAAAACATCAAATGTAAAATTACAGATAACATGAGGAGTGTGTGTTTCTGCTGCACCTCACTGCATGATGTGTGCAGCTGTGACAGATGTGAAGTGTGAGCAGCTTGACATTATCTCCGGCTGCCGTTGAGATACGTTTGGAAATAAAAGCATTGTCAGTCCAGCTCCAAATAAATTAATTGGATTGATGCTTTTATTTTGATAGAATAACTTCCTTGTTTGCTTTCTCAGTTGAAAAAGAAAAACTCTTTTAAATACTTACCCTGTCTCACCCAACAATCAGGTCTTGTTGTGGGGAATAAAGCATATTCTGTGTGGTTTAATGGATGTTTTGTCTATATGAACATCAAGAATGCTAATTGTATGTTTCACCCTAACTTGAGGGATTATCGTAGAATAATCCGATTCCTCACTTATCTCATTAACTCGTCTCATCAGGTAAGTAAAGTCACCTTTATTTAAAGAAGACTTTACACAGCTGAGTACAAGTAGTATTTACAGTCAAACATTGTAATGAAATTATCTTTATAACGAGAGTATTTCTCTTTGTGTATTCTGATGTTTGCAAGATTATTATTCCTGTGTTCTGCTGTATTTAAAGAGTAACTCCACACTCATAGCTGCAAACACCCTCGTGAGTCTGTGTAGATCCAGTGTTTTATATGCGGGGGGGTGGTGTCTGTGTTTTCAGTTGCTGTAACTAGAACATGTACAACATTGCCTGTTACATCAGAAGCTCCGTATTGACTCTGGTGGCAGGCTGATCCTGTTTTCACCAGATGATGGTACAGGGAAATTTTTCATCCAGGTAGATGGTGGATCAGTGTGAAAACAAATTGTTGTGTAGTGGAGGAAACACATGCTATTAATATTGATTCCAGACTATTATTGTTTGTAATTGAAGCAATAAAAGGACAGGTGTGTAGGATTTAGGGGCATCTAGTGGTGAAGTTGTACAATAATAAACTTTTTTTATAAAGCGCCTTTCAAAACCAGAGTTACAAGGTGCTGTACAATAAACAGGAATAACAATATAAAACAATAAAAACAGTGAAAACTACAAAACATTCAAAGTGGGGAAACAACGGGCCAACCGATCCTTCAGCCGATCCTTCAGCAATGGTGACAGGGTTAGGATTTTAGAATGACGGGAAACTCTTCCTTGTGCTCTTGATTAAAATAAATCAGTAAATCAATAAAGGACAGCATCCTGGTGAGCTACAAAGCTTTTTATAAGTCTTTATAGACTTCTTAGACTATAGTTTATAGTCTAAGAACTCTATTTATCTTAGTGTTTTTTGTCACGATGTGCAATAATATCTTATATCGTCCCTAATTATATTCAGTTTTTGCCAATAGATCCTCTTAATAGTTATGTTATGTAAGCAGTCCAATGCCACTTCTTCAGGTCTTCCTCCCATCCTTCTTTGTTCTGAGTTATGATCACATTAACCTGTTCAAGGTGTGGCAGGCTGTTTCCACATTGTTTAATAGCTCTAACTCTGGCAAAGGCCGGTTCAGTGAGCGTAAACAAATCCACACAAGGTATCATATGAGAGTGCTGAGACTGCTGTTGAAAGTTAGGCAGCTGACTAACACTGGCGCATTTACAGTTTAGAAATGTTGATTAATATGTGTTGTTAAAAAAGAAATTAGACTGAGCCGTAATGTGCAGTACAACCAAACACTGAGCTAAAAGTTTAGCCTTTCAACTAAATGTCTCAGGGCTTTATGCTTTGGATGGGGACTCGTGTCAGCAGGAGGTAACGTTGCCGTGGTTGACCGTGGTTAACCAGGCCACTTGTGGACCGCCTTGATAGCCTAATGGCTGCAGCGCATGTCGCATAGCCACACGTAGACCTTTTCCACCAACGTGAACCTAGTGCTTGTTCCATTGATGTGAGAAATTAGTAGCTTGCTAAATAGCTAATAATAAAGCGCCCCCAGTCCCTGTTGTAGGGGTTTCTAGGTTGTAGACCAGCAAAGTGTTGGTGCCACACTGGGACCAGTTTTACTGGCCAAGAGCCGGTTCTTTGGCTGTGGGAAAGCATAGAATTGGTTTGAGATTAGGCATCATGGTTCACACTGTTGGCCCTTTAGTCCCTCGCCTGCGGGCGGTCTGGCCTAATGGGGGGTTAGATGGACACTGAGTTAATGGGACCTGAAGGAACCACAGAGAGAGAGACCTTAGTTTGGAAAAGCTTAGCCAAGCTCAGCTCTGCTTAGCCTGAACTAGGACCGGATCACTGATGAACTGGGACAGGTGGCCTCTTCTGCTCCAGTTTGGTTATCTGTATCATGAATGAATGCTTCCTCCCACTTTCAGTGGACAATATTTAACTTGTAATTGAACATTTCAGTAGACTGACGTTCCATGGTGTTTCTTGCAGGCGAGGAGCTGCTGAAGCTGGGAGAGGAGGACGAGCAGGGCTGGTGTAAAGGACAGCTGAGCGGCGGCCAGGTCGGCCTCTACCCTGCCAACTACGTCCAGGTCGTCGCTTCCTGATGTCCCGCCCTCTCTGGTCACACAGCCAATGGTACAACTACACTCAAGATGCCAGGACCAATCAAAAGCTATTAGTGCTGACATGTAGACACGTCCTTGGTGAAACCAGACAGTTTTTTGGTTACTGACTGTAAAACATTTTCTGTTTTTTTTCTGTTGTTTGAGCTTCGTTTGTGAAAATCAGCCAGTGGAAAAGTCCACTTGTTGTGAAACGCTGTTTACTCAGCCTGAGGTCAACGACATTGTTGTTTTGAAAGAAGCTTGAACGGACTGTAGAAAAACATGGGCGCCACTCATCGATTTCTGACTGGACCTTTTATCACACTCTGGATTTTTTTCTTTTTTTTCCCTCGCTGCCATCATTCATCAGTCAGATAATTCACATTTAATCAAAGAAGACCGAGCCTGGGTGGAGCTGAGGTGGGATGAGCAGCAATGAGCAACCACCACAGCTGGCTGTGATTGGCTGAAACATCTGTCAATCAATCAAACACAAAACATGCTTCTTTTTAAAGAAGTAGTTTTGACAGTTTGGGAAATCCGCTTTCTTGCTGAGTTAGGTGAGAAGATCAATACCTCTCTAACTATGCTAACCTCTTCCCCTCCACACTGTCTTTCAGAGGCCTCTGACCTCGAGATATGTGAATGAAAATGGGCTCTGTGGGTCCCCAGAGTCTCCCCTGTGCGGACATGCCCACTTTACGCTAATCCAATGCAGTTTTTTGCATGCGGTATAGATGTGTTATTTTCGTCTAGTGTATTTGAATATTCCTGCATACTGTAGTCCCTAAACAGTATTGGAATTGCACGCATTGGGTGTGACTGTGGAGCCGAGACTCTTGTGGATCCAATGAGCACAAATGGATTTATGTGTGATGATGTTGGTCCCCATAGTGCCCATTTCATTCAGGCAGAGGAGGCTTGCTAAGGTATATTTACAGTAATGTTGTTTATATCATATCTGTATGGTGGCACTCTGTTGTGTTGTGATACTCTAATGTTAATAATTAAAGTAGGTATTATTATTATTAATTTTATTATAATTTATTATTATTTTTATAAACGTATATGTCATGTAAGACTACGGGCAGTAGCCACTTAGCTTAGCATAAAGACTGGAACGTTGACAGACTTGTTTTTGTCCTCATATTGCTTCCATACAGTAGTAAATAATACAGTATAGAGTTGGGAAGTGGATCCGCATCAAACTCTGTTGAATCACCAGGATAAAAGATGAACAATGGCTGAAGAAAATATTTGTTTTTGATTAGAATTTTACATAAAAACTAAATATGTGTAAGTTAAATACGACTCCCAAGGTGCATTTTTGTTACCTTTGGACAGAGAGAGGCTAGCTGTTTCCCCCTGTTTCCAGTCTTGCTTTGCTAAGCTAAGCTAACCAGCTGCTAGTTTCATATTTATTAAATATGAGAAACGTATCGATCTTCACATCTAACTCATGGCAGGAAAGTGAGTATTTCCCTATAATATCAAGACTTGTCATCATTAAATCAACTCATTAAGAGAAGTGAAGAATGATTCATTTTGAATTTTAATAGAGAAGTTGGGACTTTTTTTTTTGTGTATATATATATATATATATATATACACACACACACTGGGTGGTTGCTGCTTGAATCATTGAGATGAAAGAAAACCCAGAGACAGACTGTCAGTGCCTTAGTCTATGAGGCCAGAAATGTTACAGCGCCGCCCTGCTGTCTGACTGTGGAACTACAGACGTCTGCTGGGTGACGGCCTCCAGTCTAATCCCAGTAGAAACCAGTAGATCTCCTGTTACCTTGACTTTAAAATGTTTAACCTTTGACTGTGCAGGCAGCGTTTGATTGGCTGTAAACCTTTCATGCTCCTCCCTCTCTGCATTTAGCTTGACGGCGGTATGCTTCGGTTCTTTTGTAGATTTTTAGGTGTGACACTGAATTCACTTTCTTCCTTTTTTGATTTTTTTTTTTTTTTAAATGTGATAGCTGTATGTTTATATTAAGTCAAATGATTTGATTATGAATGGTTAAACTGTTGCTACCTGTTTCTTTTGATTTTTTTTTTTTTTAAGAATAGCATTTTTACAGTCAACTTATTTACTTTCTAATTTATTTTCCTCTTTAATTTAGCAATCATTCTTCATTTTAGACTAAGGCAGGCAGAGTAAAGTTGACTGTTAGATTTGGGTCATTTTAACCTGTGGAAGGTGGTTCGTTGCTCTTTTTGCTTTGCTGTGCTGGGATCATGAAGCACACGCACCTCAGAAATCTAAAATAAGTGATAATATTTTGTCCGGTTTTGGGTTTTCGTGTTTAAGTTTGTGGTTTGTGTTTGAGGGAGCCTTCTCCGCCTGCTGAGCTGAGCATCGCTACAGCTAACACATGTAGACGTCCAAATAATAAGAGAGATAATATAGAAATTAACGCTACTGTGCTGCTCCTTTTGATTCTTTCTTTTTCTTTACAAACCTGTAACATGTTCATTACGTAAAGTGGGGAGCAATAATAAAGAGCTTTCTGCAGCTGGAAGTTTTACAGACTTTCTTTTGTCCTCATATTGCTTTCATACATTAATAATTAAAGGTAAAATAGGTAATTTCTGCCACTAGGCGGTCTCTCACATCCAAACAGTAACAAAAGACCAAGTTTGATTGAAGCAGCGTGGGATCATGGGAGTTGTCTTCACCACCAGTGGCGTCAATTCAGTCAGCTTCTCCCGGTAAGGATTCCTT